ATAGATTCCAACATATATTCGAACAGGGGCAGCAGACGTGAGGAGTAAAATCAAATCACAAAACCAACTTCTTAAAGCATTAAAATGAACTCCAACATATATTCGAATAGGGGGGATAACATAAAGTAAAACCAAGCCCCAAAACTTACTCAAAACACCAAATAGATTCCAACATGTATTCGAACAGGAGCAGCAAAGGGAGCAAAACCGAGTCACCAAACCAACTTCTTAAAGCATTAAAACGAACTCCAACATATATTCGATTAGGGGGAATAACAGGAAACAGGGAAACGCAAGTATCCCCCCCCCTTCTTCACCCAATAGCCAACCTTCCCTTCAATACTAAATCAGCTAGGCAAGGAGAAAAGAGAGAGGACCGCAACCTTCAACATATAGGTAAAGAGATAATAAAAGCATAAAAAGAAGGCTTTCATGTATACAAGGATCAAAACATGCTTTCCATAAACTACCATCTCAACTAACAGCCTAGAGCATTTAAAGCAGACCCAATAGAAAAAATAAAGGCCTAGTAATCGATGACGCCGCTATGAAATATCAGTTAAGACAAAACAAAGCCTTATACATGCATTCCCCAATTTTAACATCTCTAGCATGTGTCGAGCAAGGAAGAAGAGCAGAAGAGAGGAAACATAGCTTGCTCAGACTTCTGCAATCACCAAAGGAAAGCCACAACACTCCTAAACCTCAAGCTCACAAGCAAAGTCACAGCACCCCTGGACTCCAAGCTCACAAGCACCTAGACGAGAAACGATTCCCGCAGAGTCTCTCCCACACTCCCAAAATTCGTAACCTCACAGCAAAACTCCCCAACCGCTTCCAGCGCTCGTCCCAGCAGAAAGAAAATCATTGCAGTCAAGGCCACAGAGGAATGAACTATCGGGAAAGAGGAGGATTACCACATTCGTGCCTCAGGGAACAAGAGCACCACAGTCAACCTACCATGAATGGATTCCCGCTCAGCGAGATGAAGCAAAAGAAACTTCGGGAAGCCGCAGCTCGGGCAGAGGATGTCGACAGAGATGAGATCAACTCCTTATTACACGAAGAGAAGAGACCAGCAAGAGGGAAGGCGCGACTAGGGCTAAGTCCGGAGACGGAACCAAGAGGGGCTGCGAGCTTTAGGAGAGGAGTCTGGGCTCCAATTAGGGACAGAACGAAGGGTTGTGCCAAATAAAAATTTCGGCCATAGTAAAAGACCTCCCCCCCTAATCTGTCATATAATATGAAACATACCCCCAAAATATAAATAATATTTAAATTTCCTCGATTTGGGCACTTCTCACTCGTGCACCAAACCATACGAAGTGGTAGTCCTTCCTAACTAAAGTTGACGTTCCGAACGCGCCGACGAGGTCTTTTTCTTCATCTGGGGTCGCTCGGACAACTTCATTGACGCTCGGGTCAAAAACCCATCAAAAATCAAATTCCTTTAAAATGTCGTTCGTGATTAATCGTAGAGCCTCCTACGGGTGCAGGTGACGTGAATCTCGATAATTGTGCGCATCGTTGTGTGCACTATGGTATTCGTGCATCGTACAAGTGTGTGGAGATCGCAATGGTTTTTCCTATGGTTGCGGATCCTAATGGTACTCGACTCGAGTTTTGTTGCGCTGGTTTTAAACTACTCAACTAAGCGTTGAGGATTTTAGAACCAGCCACATGAAACTAAGATCAGTCAAAAAGTGACTTGAATTTTTAATCAGTGTGGGCCCCAGGCTAGTTCTCTAAGAGAGTCGGTATGAAACCCTAAGGCTAGATCCTAGGCTCTAAGAAGAGGAAGAGACCTCACCAAAAATGAGGTCAAAATGAGATGAGGTCAACAGACGTTTAGGCACCCACTTCCGGCGTTGGAGCGCTTGTTTCCAGAGAACTGGGATTTGATGATACTAGCAAATGACAAAAGAACACTGCATAACAAGTGAGTCTATAGGCTGAAAAAGAAGTCGGATGGTAGCAGTCGCTACAAGACAAGACTTGTTGTGAAGAATTTCCAGCGGAAAGGAGTGGATTATTATACAGAAATCTTCTTCCTAGTCGTGAAGATGACAACTGTCAGGATTGTGCTAAATCTGTTAGCAGTAAAAGATCTACATCTGGAGCATATGATACTTATATAAAGATCTAGGAGTTATACATGGTGCAACCACAAGGTTACAAAGTTTCAGGCAAATAAGATTTGGTCTACAAATTGAATAAGAGCCTTTATGACGTGAAGTAGGCCCAGTGACAGTGGTACAACAGGTTTATGTCAAAAAATGGGTACTTGAAGTGAAAGAAAGACCACTCTTGGTTCAACAAACACTTTGATAACCGTTATGTTTTGCTTCTCTTATATGTAGAAGACATGTTAATTGCAGGGACAAATATGTAGAAAATCAGATACTTGAAGTTACAGTTATCAAGAGAGTTCGAGATGAAAGATTTAGGTCCAACCAGAAAAATCCTCGGGACGAGAATCAGCAGGGACATGAGTGCAAAAACACTGAAGTTGACTTAGGCAGAGTGTGTTAAAAAGATCCTATAGAGATTCGACATGAGTGAGGCAAAACTAGTTAGCACTCTCTTAGGTAGTCACTTCAAACTATCTAAGGAGCTATAGCCTCTCTGAAGCAGAGCAAACACAAATGGAGAGAACTTTGTATGTTTCAGCAGTTGAAAGTTTGATGTACGCGATGATTTGTACCAGACTAGATATTGCATATGCAGTGGGAGGCAATCCAGACAGACAATATTGGGAGGCGATAAAGTGGATTCTCATGCATTTGAGAGGAAAAATCAACATGACACTTTGTTATAAAAATACATGGAATCCTCTGGCAGAATATAGAAACATTAAGAGAAGTACGACGAGATATATCTTCACATTGGGGGGCAAAGCGATGAGTTGGGTTTCCTTGTTGCAGAAGATCATTGCACATTCTACTATGGAGGCTGAATATAATGTTATTACATATGTTAGCAAAGAGATGATTTGGTTACAAGGTTCCATGACATAATTAGGCAAGGATCAGGGGATTAGAAAACTCTACAGTGATGGTATGACGTACGTGACAATGAAGGCAATTTAGATGGAGGTGCAGGTACAGAGGACTGGACTTGGTGCTATCAGTTTCCAAGTAGAAAATTGTTAGTTGTAGAGTCTGATTATAACATACATGAGCAACAGACTGGCTGGCTTCCACATAGTCGGTGCGCTCGGTGCCAGGAAGCCAAGCAAAGGGCGCTTCAGTGCCCATTGAGTATTCCTAGACCGAGAAGGTGGAAGTTTTGCGACCAAATTGGGTGCTTAGGCACCTAATTATGGCATTAGGATGCCTACTTCCAGAGAACTAAGCGCTAGGTTGCCTGCTTCCAGAGAACTGGGCGCCCGACACCTAGGCGCCGGGAGCAGTTTTCATGACAAGTGCTATTTATGTCACGATTTTGGGCAGTATATGTGCAGGATTGGAGCATAACTCTTCTTGTTTGTTCATCAACAAAATCCTGGTGAGGGTGAAAACTATTGGTGAGAAGGATTCTATTGTTTTTCAACATGCGTTTCTGCGTCAGATCAGTAGGAAGTGTGGAGTGGTAAACTGTAAGTTTTTTTTGTGAGGATAAGAAACTTGTATGAATCCTCTGTAAAACTCTCTGAAATTCATAGTGAAATTTGTGGTGGTGTGGCTCTGTGGTTTTTCCCAATTCTAAGGTTTTTCCACGTAAAACTTCTGTGTTCTTTTCTGGTTGTTTTTTATCGTATTTCTGGTTTAAATTTATGTTCTGATTTTCTTGAATCATGTGATCATATCGTACTGTGAAATTAAGAATTATTTGAAAGATTCTCAACACAAGATGGAGTAATGTGTTATGTATTTAACTATTTATACTTAATAGGTGTTGGAAAATTTATGGAGTTTTATTTATTTTTGAGAAATAAAACCACTTTCAATGCATTACAGGTTGAATATGAAAGGAAGTTTGATAAAATATTTTGGATTTTTTTTTAATGTAATAAGTAGTCAAAAACTGTCCAACTAACTACTCTTTGCCTTGATATCACAAGTTTTAGATATGGATTATGATAATTTGAAGTAGCGTTGACTAGACGTCAAATTTCATAATAAGTAATGCAAATAGACTAATATAATAATGATTATGATAAGATCAATATAGTTGAAAGTAAAAATATGCCGACTTCAAGAAAGTGCTTTGCCAAACTGGGTCACACATAACAAAAAAAAGTTACGGGTAATTTACAAGCATAATTCAGATGGAAAGAATATCAGAAATGAGCTTCAAGGGAGCTAAAAATACTCAAAACTTCAACTAGCTATAAGCACACTCAGTTTTTTAGTCCCATAGCTTGAATTCCATTTCAAGTTTATAATAGCTTGCTCCAATCTTCATGATGTCAACTTGAAGATATTTTACTCGATATCGGTACGAAGTTGGTTAGAGAAGATCAATGACTTCTATGTCATGGCTAGGATATGATGTTAGAAGATAATATTATAATAGATTACATCTTTATTGAATTGTCTTACTGGAAAAAGCATAAACGTGCCCACATTAGCAACAAGAGAAAAATAAAGAAAAATATAATAAGAAGTAATATCCTTGAAAACAACGAAACATCAAAATATTACATGGAACATATTCCTACTAGAAACAACTTGGGCTGTGTGATCATTTATTCATGATAATAGGAGTAATAATCCTACAATAGACGGGTATGTTAATGAGAAGCATTTAAATATGTGAACATGGCATTATTGTAAAAATAGCCAAAATCTTAACCACTAATTAATGTCATACATCCATTGGAACACACACAATCGCAACAAACAGGCTGGAAATAGAAATCAAGCAATAAGAGGCATAAAGCCTCATTATGGTGTACAATCACATTAGATAACTTGTTTTTTTTAATGCTTCAAAGAACTAGAGTAGATGTTCCTTCAAACCATTTGACAGAACCAGTAGCTTAAAAAAAAATTTACCTGATCAATGATGTCATCAAGAGGATTATTTGGAAGTTCTAAGGACTTTATTATATCCAAAATCTTCAACTTTCGTTCATTTGCAGCTTCATACCTGATCAGGTTCATTAGAAAGCTTTGTCAATACCATGCATCAATAATTTTGTAGTTAATCTGACTACTATTACTAATGCTCTCAGAACACACCGCTTTAGTAGTTCTGCTATATAGGCATCCCTAGCTTGAAGATACTCATCAGTTTTTTCCTTACATGAGTAACATGACCATTCAGCAGGAATCAAATCCATCCAAGGAGGCACTAAACAAGCAGGATGAACTTGTTGTCTACAACAGGAACAGCGAAGCAACAGTTTTTTTTCCTTTAATAATAGAAACAAGTTAGTCATTTTTCAAATAGATATTACAATATATGGTAGCAAATAGCCAGTTACCTCCTCACTATTGCATATTTCACAGATCTGAAACTCCTCATCAGACTCGGATGATTCATGACCAGAATCAGCTGAAATAATCACAAGACAAGTAATAGCTCTTACAGAAGCTATATTTTCATACAATTGTTCATTTACTTCTCAGTCAGCTAATTCACAAGCACCAGCGTTTAAAAGGCAAAAAATGACAGCAGATAGTTCAAACATCAGCAATTTTAAATGCTATGACAGGCGTGTTGACCTTGTTCAATCGCCTAGTGCATAACAAATTAAAGCATGTCACAAATAATTGAATAATAAAACCCATCAGTCACAGTATAACATGCATTTCAAAACCACTATATAATTACCACACCCTTCTCTAAACTTCGAAGATTATAACACTGTCGTTGCCGGTCCCAAGCCCGGATGCGAAAAGTGAAGGGTTGCGTTAGGTAGTCGACAGTCAGCATCAGCATAAAACTTGAGCGTAAAACTTGTCGAAAAAATAATGACATGAATCATTTTGATCATTGTGTAAGAGTTATGGTGTCCACTGGAAGTGACACGTTGTATAGCCTGAACACAGTGAAAAGTGTGCAAGGGCTTCTACACCGGCGCCCGAGTGTATTGTTAAATAAGCAAGAGTTCCAACATTACGGGCGAATACGGGTAAAAAAGTTAGTCCATGAAACTAATGAAACTAATATTAGGATAAGATCTTGGAATATAAGTACTCTCAATGGTAAATTAATAGAATTAGTTGATATTAGTTGAT